TGACTCCAAAAATTTATCAGATGTATATCTAAGGATTAATAGTTATACATCTGATTAAAATACTACCCGCTGTTCATGAGATATTTTAGTAAAATACACACAAAGGCAATTTTTTTAAATAATCCGCCTTCATTTTACCAGCAGCAAGTGATAAAAAGACTAATTCTAAAAAAGTGAAGTAGAAAAGTTGGTCATAATATTTCCGAACAATGCATTATTATTATTTTAAATCCTTTCCTTTAACCTTTGGTAAAACAGCTTACTTTTAATTACCAGTTTATAACTGAAGGAATCACATAATCCTCCAGTGTCCTGTCTTGCACTGAATTAAGCCTTGTGTTTTGAAATGCCTGCTTAACATGTTTACTGACAAAATAATCATGATTCAGATCGCCCAAAATGACTGATGGCTGCAAGAAAGTTGTTTCTTTTCCTCCAACACTGATGTGGTTTGGAGAAGAGAAGAGAAAATGACAGAAAGGGTTATTACCCCTGCATACAGCGTGCCTTGTCTCAGAACATGCTAGGGCATGCACTGCTCGGTGGCGGAAAATTCAGATATGTTTGGATTTGTCTGTTTTACTGAGCTCAGCAGTGATCCAGGCTAATGATGTCTGGATAAGTGCCTGTAGCAACAAGTAATCAGCACCATCATTAATTACAAGGAACATCAGTGAAGATAAGAAATGTCTTTTTCCTTTTTAATTACACATTAAGACAAAGCCGGAATTTGCCTAAAACTTTTTATTACAGGTTTGTGAAAGTGGAAACTGTAATTTTCGGTGTCCCCAGCACTCCAAAAGTTAACCTGTCAAAATGGATCCATAACATCATTCTGACAGTTTAATAACACACTGTCGGGAAGAGAACTGTGATTGTGTAATCAGGATGAGCACAACTTTTTATTGTTTTTACTGATAAGATACAGAACAAAACAACATTTGAAGGCATTCAAAGATCCACATTAAGGGTTTTGATTTGAGAAATCCTTTGATATTTTTTACATTGTTTTTTGTTTGTTTACTTATTGGTTGTATCTGTTTATGTATTGGTAAATCATTTTAATTTTTTAATTTTTATTTTTTTTGTTTTCTTTATTTTTTCGTCAGGCAGCCTGTTAGTTGTTTTAAAAATGTTTGTTTACATGTCTATTTTAGTATTTACCAGTTGTATATTAGATAGGTTTTTTTTTCTTTTCATAAAATTGTTTGTTTATTCAGGAATTTGTTCAAATTGTATGTTGTTTGATTTTTATTTTTTTCTTTATTTGTTTTTTGGTTACTTCTCTGTTAGTTTAGTTACTTGAGATTTCACACAGTTTTTCATATTTTGGCAATGCAGCTTTTAAACTCTGTGTTTTTGTTTGAAGTGTTTGTTTAAAGGCAGGCTCCAGATTCAGGGGCTGCATCCTTTGAAGGCAGAATTACGTCACAGCCGTGCACCAAAGGCTCCTCGAATTGCTCCTTCTCAGCCCACCCTATCCCAAGATGTGTTGTGGGCCATCTAAAAGATTTTTCTGCTTGTAACGGTGAACAAGTCGAGAGACGAAGCAAGAGACAGGAGTACATTTTTAAGTAAAAGTCTGGTGCAAAAATTCAAAGTTTAAAGCAGGGGTCTGCAACCTGTGGCTCTGGGGCCACATGTGGCTCTTTGGTCCCTCTGCAGTGGCTCTTTGAAAATGTGATGAAACATAACAGGATAACATTTTTTATATCTACAGCAGAAATCAATATGTATGCAAATATGTGATCAATACTACTAACACAAAAAGTAAAACATGTTAGCCTGTTTACTTAAATATTCCAATTTCTTTCTATGATCTTTCTCTCAAATCCATCAGAATTACCTTTAAATAATTAGAAGACTGTATAAAAATAAGAATTAGGAAAAAAATTCAGTTGTACTGGTTTTTATGAAATTCAGTATAAACTATATACGGTATATTTCTTGTTTAAATGAATATAGTCTTTTTATTTGTCCTGATTTGTATAATAAAAAAATAATATTAAAAAGTTTTTTTTTTAGTTTTATAATGTCTCCTCCACTGACCGTAAAGGTTCCTGAAAAAGCCTCGAAAAGGCCCACGGACCACCTCTTGCTAATCACAGTTGTAGCTTGCTTTGCGGCTCTGGACACATTTTATTAGTGAGACTAGGAGCACAAACGGCATTTTTGATCATAAAGGTTGCAGACACCTGGTTTAAAGTGATTAAATGGTAAATGGACTGCACTTGTATAGTACATTTCTATCCAACCAGGACACTCAAAGCTCTTCACACTACAATCTGTGTCCTCATTTATCCATTCACACAGCACTCTGTTAGGTCTCTACAAAGCTAACATATACAATCAGCTATGGAGACTAATCAGTGCCAATCACATTCATACACTGATGGGACACACGTGTCTTGCCCAAGGACACAACAACTGAGAAAGGTGGAATGGGGGATTGAACCAGCGACCTACCAGGACGGCTCTCCTAACCATTCTGCCACTACCGCCACAGTTGTGTTGTTAATCTTTTGTCATTTGCATGGACATGTTTTTTCAATATTATTCTTGTCAGAAATCATCGTAAACAAGCTCACATTGCAGGTCCCTTATTTATGTATGTATTTCCTCTAAGTTCATTTTGTTAAAATGAATGATAATATTATGTTAATGTTTTGCTCATTTTGATCTTCATTGTTTCACCATGACAGTTGCTAGACAATAGGATATACTCACCCGCTTCGGATGTTATCATCCATGAAATGGATGTTATTAGGCGTTATCAGTCCCCTAGAACGGCTTCAGAATGTCCCGCCTGTGCCGTTTAGCAGGTTCCCCGACCCATAGAATGGCTTCCGATTGTCAGCTGGTTAGTATGAGGCATAAAGCCACTATATGGTTAATATTAGGCGTAAAACCACTATCTGGTTAAAATGAGGCATAAAACCACTATCTGGTTAATATGAGGCATAAAAAACCTGGTTAATATGAGGCATAAAGCCACTAAGGTTAACTTTAAAGAAAATGACATGGTTAGCGCTAAAGACACCGCCCTCCAACGATTGTATAATGTGGCCTTCCAGTGGGGCAATGGGTAGAGCATCAGACCAGAGAGCAGGAGACCAGGGTTCGAGACGGACAGGGCAAAAAGATTTTTAAAATATGTTTTGGTTATTTAAGCACGTTCATTGTAATTGATATATAAACCCACCAGGGGGCACTGTCGGCACAATATGAAGGCTAGAAGGCACAGTAGGGACATTCTGAAGCCATTGTATGGGACTGATAACACCTAATAACATCCATTTCATGGACTGATAACATCAAAATCCCCTGATATACTGTAGGTCTGTGTAAGAAGGCTAGATCGTCTAGATCAGGGGTGTCAAACTCCAGTCCTCGAGGGCCGCTATCCTGCATGTTTTAGAGGTTTTCTTGCTCCAACACACCAGATTTTGATCGCTGGGTGATTAACAGGCTTCTGCCCAATTTGAAGAGTTAATTCAATCACTGAATCAGGTGTGTTGGAGCTGGAAAACCTCTAAAACATGCAGGATAGCGGCCCTCGAGGACTGGAGTTTGACACCCCTGGTCTAGATTCACAGCCACTTTTTTCCGGTCTTCGACGTCAACACAGTACGTGGCCCACGTTGACTGGGTCGGCCAGGTCCTTCGAAGAATGCAGGCACTGAATTTATACTAGTGCTGCGTATGACCCAAACTTTATATCATGGTATTTGATGGTATTTTTCTTTTCATCACAGCTCAGCTGATAATAAAATGTACAAATGTTGCTTATTGATTAGTAAACCACGATCAGCTGATGTCACTCTCTTTCTGCAACACAGAAACAATTTAGTGACTTTTTTCTTTTGCTGTACTTTTGTCTGTGTTGCTGTTTGCCTCCTCTACATGCCTACTCTTCTCTGCCTGGTTGTGGACAGTAGTCAAGTATTTTTGTCCAGTTATGAAGGAGGATTGAAAAAAAGATCTTTATCAGGTCTATTGATTTATGTTATTTAAAGGGTCAATATTATGTGTTTCTCAGGCATACATTTAAATACTATACCATAATAAAGTATCTATGTCACCTTTAGTGGTTGTTAAAATGCTGTTTTATGT